AAGAACGAAGGCCTCCCGCAGCCATCCCTGCCTCCAGGCTCACAGCCTCTGAGGTTCGGAGGGCATCCCAAACACTGCCTTTCCCCTCATATTCTAAGTGGCGTCTTGTCCCTGAGGCGGTGTGGGATGCAGCTCAGCCTTGAAGTCAGATGTTGGCCTTTAGCACCAACGTCCTCTGGGCCTGCTTGCTAGGCTGGCCAGCCTGGGTGCCGAGAGCCGCCTGGGCTGCTTTTTGTTGGTCCTGCTGTTTCCTCCCCAAATCCACCGGAAATGAAAGGTGTTTGTTTGCAGGGACTCTTCCATCGTGTGCTGCGTGAAGAAATCTCTTTGGCAAAACTCGTGAGAATGAAACCGGAAGAGCTCGTATCCAAGGAGCTCTCCACGTGGAGAGAGAGACCGACGAAGACTGTAAGTGTGGGCGGCGGCCAGGGCCAGGCTCAGCTTTTCCGGCAGCAGGTGCATGCACTGTGCCCACACGGCACGTCTCCTCCTGGACACCGGGCTGAGTCCTCCCCGTCTCTCCTCTCAGGTGGCAGAGCCCAGAGCTAAACTGCACAGTGAAAGCAAGAAGCTGGCCGCCAAGCAGGAAGCCGTTCCCGACATGGAGGACTCGCCGCCCGTGTCGGATTCGGACGTAAGCATCCAGGCCTCCAGTGTCCTCGGGGCAGGCGGCCCCTCCGGTGTGTGGGGGCTTTGGCTGCAGGCCACACTGCGCATGGAGTGTGTGCTCATACATGCATGAGCCCTCGCCACATGACCTTTTCTCCCTGGCAGTCCCTAATCAGAGGCTTGTTTTCCTGGGTGGTGTCGAGGTGTATGTGGGGAGAAGTGACCCTCTCTGTCCCCCCAGGAGCAGCAGGAGTCGGCGCGCGCTCCACCTGAGAAGAGCACGGCGCCCCCCCTCGACGTCGTCAGCAGCATGCTGAAGGACACAACTGGCCAGCACCGCGCACACCTCTTTGACCTGAACTGTAAGATCTGCACAGGTGAGCTCGGGGATGCAGCTGGGTCCCTAACCCTAAAGGCAGTTGTAGTTCCCAGTTTTGAACAAAGCAGAGGCTACAGTGGTTTTCTGTATTCAAACCCCTTCGTAGAGTTTATTTTTTGGTTCTTAGAAGGAATTCCTACTGACTTGCAAGCCAAGTTCTTGCATGTGTCAGATTTCTTATGATTTCTTTCCTTACGTTCTTCAGGTCAAGTTTCGTCATCAGAAGATGAGCCAGCTCCAAAAAAACAAAAGCTTTCGGCTTCTGTTAAGAAGGAAGAGTTCCGGCCCAAGGGTGAGAGCTCTCCATCCGACTCAGTGCCTAGTGCAGCTGACGAAGTGGTGCCAGATGCTCTGCCCAAAAACGCTTCTGAGCCAGACCTGGAAAGTGGTTTTTGTCTGGACCTAGAGAGAAAGTGTTTCTCTGGACCTCCTGGGGATGGCCACCCTGAGCCCTCCCCCGTGGACGGCCTTTCTTCCTGCCCAGTCTCTGGTGGTGGCGGGGCGGTCACCACTGTCACCCTGTCTGGCCGGGACCCCAGGACTGCTCCAGGTGCGTCGTGCGCAGCCCTGGCCACCACCACGGTGCGCCCTGACAGCTCGCAAGCTGTGGAGACCAAGCAGGACATGCCAAAGCCTGCCGTGACTCCAGTGGCTGTGCCCAAGTCCATCCTGGCCAAGCCGTCCTCATCCCCTGACCCAAGATACTTGTCAGTTCCACCATCACCAAATGTCAGGTGCGTGCTTTAGATGTGGTCTGAGCGAGCCAGGGATGTTTTCTGTAGGTTAACAGAAAGTTAATAGGCTCATTGGTGATTAAATAGCTCAGCTTTCCTCCCTGCCCCCCCCCCTTTTTTAAAGAGATTTTTGCTATAGGGTACATGCAGTCACCAGAAGGAGCGACAGAAAGCACAAAACCACCTCCGGGGTGGGCCATGCCGCAGTCCATTTTCCTCCAGATTCTGAGCATGTGCACACTGGCACCTGGTGTGAGTCGTGAGCCACTGGGTCCGGGATTCACCGTAGTCGACTCCATGGAACCATAGCCATTACACCGTCTGCTGGTCCCAAATAGCACAGCTCCTAGGTTTACCCGGAAGGACTTCTTCTTTTTCCTGTTTAAAAGGCTAGTCTCTGGCCGGCCCACAGTGTAACTTAGGGTGGCTGGGTCCCATTGGCCGACCGCAGTCTGAGTCCTGGGCTCAGCAGCGTGAGAGACATGCCAACCACCTGCACATGCGTGCCAGAAATCCTTAAAGGGAGAGAAGTGATGGCGGCACAGCCGTTTCTCATGAGGGGCTTTGTCCCCTCCCTCCCTCTCTCTCTCTCTCTCTCTCTCTCTCTGGTAAGTGCACATGCCTTCTGGCAAAGACTGTAAGAAGTCCTACTTGGTAAAACTTTGAAGAGGAGAAGAGGGCAGTTTCAGGGTGCCCGTTACCGTCTGGAATAATGTCGAAGATGGGGACGTGACTGTTACCTGGTCAGATTGTTCTCCCTACCAGAGAGTCTGTTGATGTCATCCCAATTAAAGTGGGTAATTGGCGAGGGAAGTCACCAGAGCTTGCAGGAATTCACTTGCAAATGTAAAGTCATTTGAAATTGTCACTGTACAAAGAAAGATATTTATGTTTCTTCTTTATGGTTTTGTTTTACAGCATCTCAGAGTCACGGTCCCCTCCAGAAGGAGACACAACCCTCTTTTTGTCTCGACTCGGCACCATTTGGAAAGGATTTATTAACATGCAAAGTGTAGCGAAGTTTGTCACTAAAGCGTATCCTGTTTCTGGGTGTTTTGATTATCTCAGTGAGGTTAGAACCTAGAAGGTGTACCTGTGTACGTGCGTGTGTGTGTGTGTGTCCCAGGAGCTCCTGCACCAGACCTGACCCTCACCGCCGAGTACCACGTGCATAAGTGCTTCTAAGGCGAAATAGAGGAGAGGAGGTAGAGGGCAGGGGTAACCTGGGAACCCTTGGAGGGGCGGGCGTCCGACGAGGACTCGCATCCCAGCTCTGTGTTCAGGGTACCCTGCAAATCCAGGCACAGCCAGCCTTGCCAGGCTTACGAGAGCTCTTAGTGTGGGTGACCTGCTGAGCCCCACGACGGCTGGCACTTCTCAGAGGTGGTAAGAGCATTAGCATTGATGACCATAGCAGGGGGCATCAGGTCAGACACCCTGGCTCACGTGGGAGCTGCTAGCGTGTGCATGCTCATGAAAGACTACATGCAGAGATTGGTGGGGCTCTAGGCCGGATGCCGCCAGGCAGCAGGTGCTGTCGGTGCCCTTGGGTTTGGTTCTTGTAGGCTCGGAGCGAGCCAGTCATCTGTCGGTGCAGCTGCCGTCATGTTCCTTGGAATAGTGGCGATTCTCTTGAATCTTGGGTAGCTTGCTGCCTGGAAGTTACTTGCGCATGAGTATCTCTGAGTGCTACAGTCTCACCAGTTACTCGCTTTTGTTCAGGACTTACCCGACACAATTCACATTGGTGGGAGGATCGCACCAAAGACGGTTTGGGATTATGTCGGCAAACTGAAGTCTTCTGTGTCTAAGGTACCTGCTTACAATACAATCTCAGCAACAGTGGGCGGTCGTGTTCACTTAAACACAGCTTCCTGTGGCCTCATGATGGGTTACTGTCTAAAATGTCAGCCTATGGTGTCGTAGGTCTTTCTAGAAGGCTGTCAGAGTTGAGTTGATAGAAGCGACATGACTGCTAGGGCGCGCTTGAGCAGCACGGCGGGCACCGTGTGCAGCTCCTTATGGTAACGAATGTGTGTAGCGAGACTGAAGTAAACACGTGTGATCTCATCTCCTTATGTTTGACGATCGGAGGAGTAGAACGCAAGAGTCTGGGGTGGTCCTGCCCGGAGCACCAGCCCAGGCGCCTGGACAGGCGTTAGTTTTCCACAGGCCCCTTCTGGGAACCCGACAGCCATGTGTATGGTTTTCTTTGGGAAGAGTGTGTAGTTTCATTGGTTCCCAAAGGGGTCTAGACCCTGCCATCTAATCTAGCCCTCCCATGTGAGAAACACAAACTTATGCTTGCGAATCACACAGCTGTCCCTGGTCACCGTGGTCACCCTGCAGGTTACAGCAGCTGGCCGTCTAGACACGGCTCAGCTCACGCTTCCCGAGCAGAGTCTCACAGACAGGAGAGCTCTGAGCCCAGAAATGCACACACGTGCTCTCTACCTCTTCGCTAAGAGCGTGTCTGGCGTCGAGGCTGGGAGAGCCCCTGTAGAACCGCTGACACCCCCTTCTCAGACTGTCCCCGCGAGGGTCGGCGGGGCTGGAAGCAAGTGCCTTTGTAGGGTGAGCCACGGCGAACGCTGTTCTCTGTTCCGTTGCAGGAGCTCTGCCTGATCCGCTTCCCCCCCGCCACAGAGGAGGAGGAGGTGGCCTACATCTCCCTCTACTCCTATTTCAGCAGCCGCGGGCGCTTCGGTGTTGTAGCCAACAACAGCAGGCACGTCAAGGACCTCTACCTGATTCCACTGAGCGCTAAGGACCCCGTCCCGTCCAAGCTTTTGCCCTTTGAGGGACCAGGTAAGCGCCAACTTCCCAGGTGCTGACCAGGCGTGTCTGTGCCCCATCCTCTCCCCCATGGCCTGGTGTCCTCCAGAGCTGTCAGGAGCAGGGCTGATGAGCAGGGCTCACAGTGGGGCCACCTAGGGAGAAGCATGGCACAAAGCCCCAGGAGTGGGTGTGGTCTCCCGAAAGACTGTGAGGAGAGGCAGCCGTGAGCCAGCCGAGGGGAGAGTGCCACGTCCCACTGCCCACTGGGTGCCTCCTCCCTCTGGAGGCCCTCTTGCTGAACAGCCCAGAAGGAGCACGTGGTAGGTGACTTTGCTTCCCGAAGTCCCTTCTCTTGCGGGGATAAATTTCTCGGAGGTATTGACATTAGTTGTGATGTGGAGAAAGTTCTAGAAATAATTTCTCTCAGGCCTACTCACATTTTCATTTGTTCCTGGCCAAACACTTGGTGTCTGCCCACTCTCAGAACCCCGAGTGTGGCGGGCTGTCTACAGAGCGGCCCTAACGCCCGTCTGGTTTGTTGAGGCCTGGTCTGTCCACGTCCACTTCTCTCAGCCCCTTAGAGGTTGGCCTGCCTCCAATGAGGGACGTGGCCCAGGTGGCTCACCTGGAGTACCCACCAAGTGCCTGGAGCTCGGCGCCCTCTACAGGCTCACTGTGTGCCACCCAGGAGCATCCCTGTGCTACTTGGTCACAGAGGCAGCACCCGGGTGCCCTCCACGCTTCACCTCTCCATCAGGACCCTAGCATGGGTCCTCTCATGCTGCACCCACACTAGCAGGGGCCCCGCACAGGAGGCTGCATGTCTGGAGTCTTGGCACCCAGGCTCGGCCATGTCCTGACACCCTGCATGGCCCCAGACCACGTTCCTGTAGAGCTGCTGACGCGAGGAACCCCAGTCCAGTACTCACTGGCATGCCACGCTAAGTGCTTCGGTGCCATACACCCTAAAGGCAAGGGCCTCAGTGTGTCCTCGTAAATCCTTCTTGGGGCCAAGAAATGTCCCTGGCGGGTGGCAGAGAAAGCCGCAGTGGCGGTTCTCGGCCAGCTCCCACGGCCAGGTGGAGGAAGCACCCGTCCTCCTGGAAACGAAGACCAGACGCTGGCCCCGCCACAGCCCTGCAAGGACCTCCGGTCAGTCCCGGTGTGGAAGCTCGCGTGGGGGTAGTGTGGGCGTACGACCCCCTGTCCGTTCGGCCGCACTTTCTGGGTACAGGAGAGCACACTCGTTAATAGCCTGGGGTTAGCAGAGGCTGGACTTTTACATTTTAAAGCGATATTTCAGCCTTATCTGAGCTCCTCTCCCGACTCCATTCTCAGACTCAGCCCTGTCAGGTGTGCACAGGTCACAGGGGAATGCTGAGAGCTGAGTGCTAGCACGGGTGGGGGCTCCTGACCATGGCCAGTGGGAGGGCAGAGGGCCCTGAGCAGCAAGCACCCCATTGTGAGCCTATCCCGGGGTACAGTCTTGAGTGGGGTGGGCAGGGCAACTCCTGGCACAGGGTCAGGCAGACTCAGCTGGATGGGCCCAACCTCACCCTCTAGGTGTGATGGGCACTGACCCTCAGACTGCACATACGCGGCGCCAGCCAGGTGGCCATCACACCCGCCCACCGTGGCGCTTGAGGCTGCGACGCTGCCTGAAAGGCGCACTGCAGACACCAGATCTCCATCCCCAGTAAAATCGCACGTGCAGGTTCAAATGGAAAGAAGGGCTCCAGAGAAGTAGCGGGGTAAGGGACGGGATTTGACCGCAGACTTTTAAAGGTGGCTTAACTGAAGGGCATTGGTGACGTGAAATTCCTGACAGCGCGGTCAGCACTGACATGAGCGTGTAGGGCTTTCTTGCTGCCTGGCAGCTACACAGCCTGGGCCCCAGGCCAGGCCACCCACGGCTGGGTTGATACCATGACTCTAGTCACAGCTGGATACGTGCGTGTCCCAGTCGTAGCAGGTGTGTACGTGTCTGTGTGTGTCGACACTGGAATGTTTTCCTGTCCTCACCGAGTTAGTGCCCACATGGAAGCCACTGGCCAGCACAGCACAAGGCGC